TGTTTTGTAGGTCATCCTTCTAAATTTTTTTTTAGAGGACCTGTCTAAAAACTCATATATATGGAAGATGTAGGAGAAGTTGCATATCTGTGTATCTCCAATTATATTTATTTTACTTCTGTTTTATGAATTTATAAGAGAAATAAGCAATGTCATTCCTAAGTCAGCTCAGCTCAAATAGCCAAAAAATGGCACTCACTTTCTCATTCTCCATTCACACAGCATGTATGCACAACACCCAGTGGATGGGAGTTTGAAACTAGGGACCTTATATACAATAACAATATTGCTTATTTGAGAACTATTAACATAGAATGCCGAAATTAAATAGACACAAACAAAAATACAGAAATGAGGAAGAACAAACCATAGCTCCTGGTGCCCATTCTCGATAAGTTATTCCTGTGGCACTGAGCCAGATGAGACAACTATCAGTAACAGTAACACCAACTTTTCACAAAATGTCTTTTGAACAATAAAAAATTATCAAAAATAGAAAACATTAACAAGAAAATTACTTTATGTGATAAAACATAGGAAAGACATAACAATCAAGTGGAAGTCCTTTTTTTTGGCCAGACAAGTGGGAAGTCATTGGTTAGCCATAAACTATAAGAGAAAATAAAAAAATGCCAAAGTGGACAGAGAAGGATAGCTCTTAATGGGCGGTCAAAATTCCAAAAATGTAATACAATCCATACAAAAAATACAAGCGAATGAAATGGAGAACAATGATAAGCTAAAAGATAATAGATTATATGGATAGTGGCAAAGTGAAGGAGGAGAAAGGCTAGCTCTTTGGGCTGTTAAAATTATTCAATAGCTCACATCCTTGCAGTTGCAGGGATGAAATATCTGGTCTTCAGTCTGTTATTCAACAATCTCTTTTTCTGTTAAGGTGCATACAATTTTGCCTAAATTTTATAAAGATACATACACCAAAAATATCATGAGTCATGTATGGTATTCCCATGAAAACAATTACAAGGATATTCCAGGACAGATGTAGATTACTAGAAAGTCTACATACAAGCTATATTTCTCATCCTCTAGAATGATATACTACTCAAGCTAATGCCAAATGAAGCAATGACATTTTTAAAAGAATCAAACATGCTAAAAGTGACTTGAAACTCCAAAGCAAAGCTGAAACAGATACTTAAAAATAATATTCTTCCGCCAGCCTATCAAGCTATAAAGAATTGACACGCTTTTATAATAGGAGATAATAATGCTTATAGAGAAATTCAAATTTACCCAAACAAAGATTTTCTTCTCTCTTTGAACCACACATTAGGGCTCACCTCTAATACCTTTATTTCATCTTATGAGATACACCAAGAGTAATCACATTGTACCAGAAGCAATGAATCACAACAGCAGAAGCCACAATCCATATGAAATAATAACGTTATAAGAAATGAATGGATGCCAACAAACTGACATTGGAAATTTGTCATACCTTCTTGTGAACCCAAACTTCTCATAACCACGAGAAAACATCTCTAAACCACCCTCATGCTTGTCAATTTCTGCATGCATCCTTTTGTACTGAGAATACCTGAAATCAGAAAATATTCATGGGAAAAAATCTAGTTTAGAAGTCAACATACTTCAGATTTAAAAACCAATCAAGAAAAATATTATAAAAAAAAAGAAAGAAAGAGAAGAAATATAGATGATATGATGTAGCCAAATCAATGACAAAAAGATCACCTACAATTAGAAAGAACAATGGTGTAAGATACCCCACATGACAACAATGACCAAAAAAAAATAAAAAACCCAACCTAAAAATAATTCAGAAATAGAATTACCTAAGGGATTAATCCTAGTCCAGTACCAGCAGGAAGTCCCAAAGAAACAAATTTACGGGACCAACAAGAACAATCAAATATTCAACCAATTATTAAAATTAATTCCACAACATTGTTGCTTCAGTCCTTAGTTATCTATTTCAAATTCCAATTACTACTCAAACGATAGATGATTATCTTACCGGTAATCTAGATGTTCACGATGACCCAACAAGGTTGGATCTATTTCATATATTCTCTGTCCAGCACCAGGAGGAGGAATGGATTTTGGTTTTTTTTCTGTATGTAGACGAACAGTTGGCTCCTCACCCTTCCCATTATCTTCTTCCAATACAGAGTGAACAGGTTCTGCATCTCCATTCTCAACCTTTTCCTCATCTTCCACTTCACTGCTATCTTCATCATGGATGGTCTATAACAAGTTCATAAAAGCATTATTGGCCATAATACAGGTGATTTATACTCAAATTACCTAGAACTCAATCATATGTAAGCAAATTTGCAAACCTGAGGATCATCAGAAACAGTGCCGGGAGTCTCCAGTTGATCTGTTGAGGTTGAAGAACTATCACCTTGACCACCAGGAACAAGGACTTTCTCAGATGCAGCAACTATTAAAGACGAGGAGTCCGAATCATAAGAAGATTTTCCAGCAAAGATCTTACCTACAAGTAAGCTTGAAATTAGCTCCATGTGTGCTAAAGGCAGATAACCACAAAAAGGCAGGCATCATCCACACCGGAATAAGAACCAAAAGACACAAAAGTAAAACTAGCCTTCCTTTAACATTCACAACCTTTCTCAAATTCCAAACCACTTTTGTGACATTTTAAAAGTGCTTATAGATTCTGTGAAATTTCACTGCCTTTTTTAATACCCCATAAAAAATTCCATCCATAAAATTGCAGAACCATTTACTAAATTATCAAATTAAAAGAAATTACATAGTTCTCCCATCTTTACTAAGTTCACTCTATCACCTGTAATATATTTATCATCATTTGGCTGGATTTCCTATTTATCATGCAAAAAAAAAAAAAAAAAAAAGATTTCTTCATTTTTTTTTTTCTTCACAAATTCCTCAGGGAAAGTAAAGAATGAAAGTAGGAAAAAAGAAAAAGATTTAAATCATTAAAATGTTATCTTTTGCCGAAAATATTAAACTTGAAAGAGAATCCACACATCATGTCTAGAATTAGAAAATACAAGTGCTAAATCCTATAAAAGGAAACATTGGAGGAGAAAAAAATACGAGAAAATTGATCCTTCTTCAACAAAAGAGAGAAACTCGAGCTCCTCCGATCGCCATTGAAGCTAGAGTGAGCGGACCTGAAGACTGGCGGCACACAAGGAAGCCGTATTCCGGATACGGAGTAAGCCATCTCCGATATGTCTCTAGGGTTAGCGAGAGGAGCAGCAGAAATGAGGAGATAGATCTAGAGAGAGGAGTTTTGCAGAGTTCAAAGCTCTCACCTTGAGAAGCGTGAGTTTGTTTTTTAGTTTAATTTTGGCAAAAACAGGGAGTGGTGTGTGAGGGGGTAGGCTTGGAGCCAAAGGGGGAGGGAGGGAGGGAGGGAGGGAGGGATGGAGGGATGGGGGGATGCTACGTGTGCAGTGGAGAGTTGCATGGAGATTGGTGGATGCGACCCACCCAACCCAAGCGCATTTCCATCTTCCATCCGATTTCCACCTCTTTCTCCGCTAGACAACGTTGGCCGGCCAAGTGGCTTCTAAAAAAAAAAAACCTCAATTTGGTTCCTAAACTATTATATGAACCTTTAATTTGGTTCTTAAACTAAAAAAATCTTTGATTTGGTCCCTAAATTATTGTACAGATCCCTAATTTGGTCCCTACTATTTACTAATTTGCCCCAAGTTAATTTTTCTATACAAAAAAAAGCTGACGTGTCTGTTATTTAATGACAAAAAATAATAATTTAACAGTAAAAAATAGTAACTTAACGACAAAAAACAATAATTTAACAATCATATGTTATGTTAATAAAAGACACTTTAGTTGATTCTTCTGTACTTTAGTTGGTTTTTGTACAGAAGAACCAACTTGAGTTAAATTGGTAAATAATATGGATCAAATCAGGGCCTGTTCGTACAATAATTTAAGGACTAAATCAAAAAATTTTTTAGTTTAAAGACCAAATTAGAGATCTATATAATAATTCAAG